ACTGTATATAACGTGCTGCATCCAGAATATTCATAATTATCACTTTCAGTCTATTAACATTACGTAAAAATAATTGTCTTTTAAACTTGGCCTCCTGTTGGATTAATTTCTCCTCCTTGGGTTGCAGGACACGGCATACTGCTCTCACTTCATTCCAGACCACATTCATTTCTAATAGAATCTGAATAAAAAATAAAAAAATGTTTATTTAAAATACTTTAATATAAAAAATTATATATTTTTAAAATACCTGTGGTGATAAACCTTTGGCCCGCGAACACAGATTTTTATCCTTCAAAGTATACCATCGCTTCACACCATTTTTAATGCGCAACAATGGTATTACCAATTTTCCCAGGAATTCCACACGATGATCACGATCCTCATCGTAGACGGTGATCTCCAGGACCTGGGTGATATCTTTGACATTGCTATGAAAAAAACGAAAGCGGAACTTGATAAATAAATTTTCCCCTGAAATGTAGGCTTAAACACTTACAATGTAAAAATCTTATTCCATGTCGGTGTTAGAGTCTTATATTCCGTTTGTGTCTGCAGGCGTGCATTACCCAATTCCAGCACACAAAACGGATCAGATTTACCGCCAATATCCGCAGCAGCCAAACCTTGAGCCCCGAAAACCTTCACCGTCAAATGCCCTACATCCCGTAAATTTTGAAAGCAACGATGCCAACGATAACGATCCGTCATCGCTTTCAATTCATGTGGATCCTCCTTGAATGCCTTGAGATCACTAATAGTTTCAAGGGCTGTGGTGCCGCTTATCGTTAACATCAGGAAGACTTCACCGGGACAGTCTTCAAATTGTTTCCATATGCCATGGGTATTTTCTCTCTCGAATACACTTAAATCTATGGAAGCTTTACCGTAGAGGGTGTTACGATTCCACAGCGAGATTTCCAGCTGTTGATCCTCTTCGAAGAGATGCAAATCGAACTGTTCCAGCCAACGTTCAGTCCATGATGATTTGCTTTTGTATTTTTCATTTCCTAATCTGAAAGCAGAGAAAGTGGGAAATCAGTGACTCTTCGGAAAAGCTTTGGGTCTAATAGTCCATTAAAAATAGTCTATAAAAAAAATCACGCTTCTGAGTCAAAAAAAAAAAAAAAAAACAAATTTAAACAATTGAAATAAATTGAAGGGATCAACTTATTTTTATTGACTTCCTTTAATTCCTCTATATAGACGCCCTTTGGGTCTTCGATAAAGCCTCCCCTCCGCTCGTCTATAAAGACTCCCTTTAACTCTTCTATGAAGAGCCCCTTCATCAACTATGTAAAGACCACCTTAAGCTCGCCTACAAATTCTACATATTTTACATAAAATCGAACGAAAATATATATAAGATCTATATCAAAATCTGAACCGATTTCAACAAACCGTATCACACATAATTTTTTCCTCAATTGCATTCGCTATGCAAAATTTTGCTCAATCGGACAAATATTGGGAGTTTGGTGTATCATTCCCAAAAAATCGGACGAAACTATATACGGAAGCTATATCTAAATTTGAACCGATTTAAACAAAACTTCTCAGACATCAATCTGGACCTAATCCTGTACTCTGTGCAAAATTTTGCATCAATCGGACAAATATTGGGAGTTTGGGGCATCATTTACACAAAATCGGGCGAAACTATATATGGGAGCTATATCTAAATCTGAACCGATTTTCACGAAACTCAGCACAAGTCATTCTAGACTCAATTCAGTGCGCTATGCCAAAATTCGTTTAAATCCCATGATTTTCAGGGACTTTGGTGCACCATTTACCTAAAATCGGGCGAAACTATTTATGGGAGCTATATCTAAATCTGAAACGATTTTCAAGAAATTTTACACACGTCATTCTAGACTCAATCCAGTACCTAATGCCAAATCTCGTGCAAATCGGAAGATATGTAGTGACTTAGGCATACCATTTACCTAAAATCGGGCGAAGCTATATATGGGAGCTATATCTAAATCTGAACCGATTTTCACGAAACTTAGCACAAGTCATTCTAGAATCAATTCAGTGCACTATGCTAAAATTCGTCCAAATTCAATGATTTTCAGGGACTTTGGTGCAAAATTTAACTAAAATCGGACGAAACTATATATGGGAGCTATATATAAATCTGAACCGATTTTCAAGAAATTTTACACACAATATTCTAGACTCAATCCAGTACGCAATGCCAAATTTCGTGCAAATCTAAGGACATATAGGGACTTTGGTACACCATTTACATTAAATCGGGCGAAACTATATATGGGAGATATATCTAAATCTGAACCGATTTTCTCCAATTTCAATAGGGTTCGTCCTTGGGACAAATAAGTGAACTGTGCCAATTTTCATCCAAATCGGATCATAAATGCTACATGCGTAAATCGACTCAGAGAGTGACTCTATGCATATTCTCAAAGGAACCATGGGTCTCGATTCCTTTTGCCTGCTACAAACATATGCGCAAAGACATAATACCCTGTACCACAGTGTGGTGAAGGGTATAAAAACACTACTTATGCTGGTCCCTCCCTCTTCTGTTGTCCTTAAAAATATTTTTTAAAAATGTACGCCTCGTGTTGGTCCTAAGAAAGTTGTCTTTAAAAAATCCACGACTTGTATTGGTTGTTAACAAAAATTTCTTTAAAAACACCACGCCTTGTATTGGTTGTTGAAAAAAAAAATCCTTACAAACACCACGCCTTGTATTGGTTTTTGAAAAAAAATTCTTTAAAAACACCACGCCTTGTATTGGTCGTTGAAAAAAAATCATTAGAAACACCACGCCTTGTATTGGTTGTTGAAAAAAAATTCTTTAAAAAATCCACGCCTTGTATTGGTCCTTTAAAAAATATTTTTTTAAATAATTAACGCCTTGTGTTGGTCCTTAGAAAAAAAAAATATTTAATAAATCCCCGCCTTGTATTGGTCCTTGAAAAAATATTTTTTTAAAAATCCACGCCTTGTTTTGGCCCTTGGAAAAAAATTATGTTTTTTTAATTCAACGTCTTGTGTTTGTTGTCGTTGGATGTATTGATTGTTATACCCTACACAACTATGTTGTCAGGGTATTATAGCTTTGTGCAGCCCCAAAAGTTTGTAACGCCGCGAAATATTGGTCCTAGACCCATCTTTAAGCATACCGATCGTCATATCTCGACTAGCTGAGTCGATCTAGACATGTGTGTCCGTCCGTACGTCCGTCTGTCCATTATAATTTCTAAACACGACACAGGCCACAATTATGGACCAATCTTCACGAAAGTTTGCATGTAGAATGGGTTCTGGCCAATGAAGACCCCTAATGGTTTTGGAAAATATTGGTTAATAATTAGGGAGCTACACTTAAATATTTACAGGTGCTTACGTATTCAGACATTATTTAGTAACCCAAAACCACACCAGAGGACGGAAATATAGCGCTGATCGCCTAGAAAATTTCCATGAGATTCCAGTTATGGTCAAGGACAACGCCTATAACTTTCGATGATGATCAGATAATAATTTTGGGATGAAGTGGACCGAAAACTTAACATTTAGTGTTTTTTTAGTCGATCTATAGGCCACAATTGAAAGCCCAACATCACAACATATCCCACGGTAAAGAGAATCTGGACAAGTACAGCCCTCGTCTACTGAATATTAGTAATATATGTTGACCTTTAGTCAGGTTTCAAAGGGGTGCAAATAAGGCAAAAAATATATTTTCTCGGAAGTTGTGTAGGGTATTATATGGTCGGCCCCGTCCGACTATACTGCTCCGCTCACTGGTTTTTATTTTAGTTTTTCCCTTGTTGCAAAATCTTCTTTTTTTACAAAAATACGGAAATATCATGATTTATGTAGGTATGTATATAAAAAAATTATCTAATATTATCTTAGCATATATTTAAATATTTCTAACACTTACCTAAATTTAATATGGGCATCATTTAATTTATTGCCATCCTCTGCCAGCGGTAAACCTTTGGCTTTAACCAGCAATATCGTGACTACTGAACTCCAGATTTGAGACTTTAAACGTTTTGATGATTCAGCCAATTTTGAATTTCTTTGGAAATGCTAAAACGAGATGAAAAAAACAAACAAAAATTATTAGTTATGGGAATTGTGACAATTTTCCAGGCATGATTATTGCCTCAAACTTCCTTCTTGCAAATCGGAAATTTCAAGTTCACAGAAAATTGGTTTTTGAGGCTTAGTTAAACTAAACAATAGAACCGTTCAAATAAACCCAAATCACTCGCATGCCATACTAACTTCACAAAAATCCTCCAACTCATTGTGTAGGTGATCCGTCCATTGTTGTTGGGTTTTACGCCAACGTTTCATCAATGCAATTTTATCGGCCAGACATTTACTGCCATTGATATTAAGCGCATAGGTTTTCATGATTTTGATTTAATTTCCGCTTTCAAAATTGTGACAACACATTTCAGTTAAATTCGACGATGCGACTATCTACCGGTCTTTTTGAATTGTTAGTAAGACGGGGTTCGGTTTTGGGTTTTGTAAAGACAAACACTTTGGCCCGGCACACGAATTCAAATGAAACAAAAACAACGACTGACTGACTGGCTGACTAATTGAAGTTGGCTTGTGTTTTATTATTATACTTGTTGTGGCTAGACTTTGGGAGAATTAGCTAGTAAATATTTAACAAAAACAAAAGTTTCATAATGTACACTGAGAGAAATTATTTTTGAAAAATTTTTATGTGATTTTTTTTGAAAAATAAAAATAATACAACAAATACAAAAATTAATAAAAATTAAAAATAAATAATTTTTAAAGAATTCTGAAGATTGCAAATATTTCTCCCAGTGTGGCTCCCTAGCTTAACTTTAGTATAATTGAGTTAAACGCAAGTTTTTTTTATCAGTCTGTTACTCAGTCAATAGAGCAGAGAAAGTGAACTGAGTCACGCCAAATTTTGTAAGCTTTACTGAATGAATTAACTCAATGTTTGTTTGTTGTCATCGCTGAGTAATGTTGGTTGCGGGGTTTAGACCGCAGCTTTTGTATTAATAGAGTAAACCACAAACACTCAAATAATTATTTTTTAAGAATATTTAGGAGGTCGAGAAGAATATTTTTTTCAAGGACTAACAGGAGGCGTGGATTTTTTAGAGAATATTTTTCCAGGGACCTATACGAGGCGTGAATTTTTTAAAGAATATTTTCCCAGGGACCTATAAGAGGCGTGGATTTTTTAAAGAATATTTTTCCAGGGACCTATACGAGGCGTGGATTTTTTAAGGAATATTTTTCCAGGGACCTATACGAGGCGTGGATTTTTTAAAGAATATTTTTCAGGGACCTATACGAGGCGTGGATTTTTTAAAGAAAATTTTTTCAAGGACCAACACAAGGCGTGGATTTTTTAAAGAATATTTTTCCAGGGACCTATACGAGGTGTGGATTTTTTAAAGAATATTTTTCCAGGGACCTATACGAGGCGTGGATTTTTTAAAGAATATTTTTCCAGGGACCTATACGAGGCGTGGATTTTTTAAAGAATATTTTTCCAGGGACCTATACGAGGCGTGGATTTTTTAAAGAATATTTTTCCAGGGACCTATACGAGGCGTGGATTTTCTAAAGAATAATTTTCCAGGGACCTATACGAGGCGTGGATTTTCTAAAGAATATTTTTCCAGGGACCTATACGAGGCGTGGATTTTTTAAAGAATATTTTTAAAGGGACCTATACGAGGCGTGGATTTTTTAAAGAATATTTTTCCAGGGACCTATACGAGGCGTGGATTTTTTAAAGAATATTTTTCCAGGGATCTATACGAGGCGTGGATTTTTTAAAGAATATTTTTCCAGGGACCTATATGAGGCGTGGATTTTTTAAAGAATATTTTTCCAGGGACCTATACGAGGCGTGGATTTTTTAAAGAATATTTTTCCAGGGACCTATACGAGGCGTGGATTTTTTAAAGAATATTTTTCCAGGGACCTATATGAGGCGTGGATTTTTTAAAGAATATTTTTCCAGGGACCTATACGAGGCGTGGATTTTTTAAAGAATATTTTTCCAGGGACCTATACGAGGCGTGGATTTTTTAAAGAATATTTTTCCAGGGACCTATACGAGGCGTGGATTTTTTAAAGAATATTTTTCCAGGGACCTATACGAGGCGTGGATTTTTTAAAGAATGTTTTTCCAGGGACCTATAAGAGGCGTGGATCTTTTAAAGAATATTTTTTAAGGACCAACACAAGACGTGGACTTTTTAAAGAATATATTTTTAAGGACCAACATAAGGGGTGGATTTTATATACAATATTTTTACAAGGCGTGGATTTTTATACCATTCACCAAACTGTGGTACAGGGTATTATGTCTTTGTGCATATGTTTGTAACAGGCAAAAGGCAATTTTTTCAAGGGCTACAAAAGGCAAGGATTTTTTAAAGAATATTTTTTTTCAAGGACAAACTCTAGGCATGGATCTCTTAAGGAACATTCTTTATGGACTATTCTTTATGGACTATACAAGCGTGAACTTTTAAATGCGGTGATTTATTTTATTAGAACAATTTTTTTTGTTCTTTTTTTAAATGTGTCACATTTTTGTCGGCTATATCCCTTTTCAATTACATTTGCAGACATTCTATCTTTATGGTTGGTCGTTAGAGACAGTTAAAATAGCTGTCAGTTTCAACACCATTATCCTGTGTTTCCCACACACTCCCCCCGTGGGAGACCAACAATTTTAGGACAATGACATTTTGTACCACAAACACAAACTGTTTTGTGACATGATGACATATTTCGGCTGGCAGAAACAACAAGCCAAACAAAAATGGCAAAGAATCCAGACGACATCATTAATCTCACTTCAGACGAAACATACAAAGAAAACATAATGATGGTGGCAAACTTTTGTCGGTTCTCCCAAAAAAAAAAATGATAACTTTCAAGTAACCCATAACAATGCTGTAAATTGGATTCTTGTTAAAGATGAGGCCTAAACATAAAACATACAAATGAACATATTTTTGGCTGACTCTCCATTTTATTTATTTATGTTGTTAAATAGGGAGCTGTCATAAACAAAAAACTGTCGACTGTGGCGGAGAAGAGGAGGATGATAAACGCCAAGACCAATCAAATATTTTCCCAAAAGAAATAAAGGTATATTTCCGTTTAATGTGTTGACGGAAGAGCAGAAAGAAAAATTAATGATTTATTTATTCTCCGAACGATGAAAAATTTGACTGGCAGACGAGAATGGACTCATAAAAGATGCCTGGCAAAATATCTTCCTCCATTAATTATGGCACATAATATTTCTTACTTGATGTTTATTCACATTTAATGGGTAAGAAGAAAATTTATAACTTTATTTATGTTAAAGACGTCGGCAAATTAATTTATTATCGTAATAATAATGATTATTTGCATAATACAAATTGTTGTTTATATTAAATAAAAGAGAATTATGGTTACAAATTGCTTATTGACTCACCTGTTCTTTGTCCTCTTGACTACGCGGCCATAGTGTTAAATTGACAAGAATTTCACCCATTGGCCTGTCGGGATGATTAACGTCGTGCAGTGCCAAATTTACATCTTCCGCAATACCCAATTCCAGTTGTGTCAAATCAATTTTTGCCGAACCCATGAAATCGTCCTGCAGACCCCAATCGTAGTCGAAAACCTGGAAATGGAAGAAAAAGATTTAGAATTTTTTCCTAGAACATATAACTTTAAACCCAATCACTATGAAAAGGCAAAGTAAAAGAAAACTAAACCTCCCGAATGTTGACGACCCCCGCATACGTATAAAGGACCACGATCTGCGAATCTGCACTTGGAATGTACGCACGTTGTACAGAACAAGCGCAGTGTTCGCTTTGGTGGATGTACTTTAGAAGTACAAAGCCGATATTATTGCCTTACAGGAAATGCGATGGAAAGGGACTGACGTAAGTAAATCAGATGATTACGCCCTGTATTATAGCTGCCATGAAACGAGACATGAATTTGGCTGCGGATTTATGGTTAATAGGAGAATAAAAGACCTCGTCTCCAGATTCACTCCAGTAAATGAGCGAATTGCTATAATCCGTATGAAAGCGAAGTTCTTCTACATCAGTGTCATTTGCGCCCATGCTCTGACCGAAGATAAAGATGAACAGACCAAAGACATATATTACGAGCGCCTAGAAACAGCATTTGACTCCACCGTCGGAAAATTCAGCCTTCATGAAGAAACATCCGACAACGGCATGAGGTTGATTGACTTCGCGGCAGCAAAAAAAACGCGGCAGCACCAGATTCGAGCATCTCGATATACACAAGGCCACCTGGATCTCTCTTGATCAAGCAACGAGAAATCAAATTGATCATGTTGTGATAAACGGAAGGCATTCATCCAGTGTTTTAGACGTCCGATCGATACGAGGAGCGAATATCGATTCGGACCATTACCTTGTGACAGCCAAGGAACGCACCCGTTTTAATGCAGCAAAGGTGCGATCTAACACAACACGGAAACTCGAAGTCGAAAAGCTGCAAACACAACAGTTAGCGGAGGCCTACTCCGCTCAACTTACCAACCTGCTTGAAGAAAGCACTTCTTGTCCCAATAATAGTATAGAAGCACAATGGCAAAAAATTGCCCACCCCCCACAAACTGCAGCAAAAGCAAGACTTGGGTACCAAAAACCACCACCAACCACAGTTTGTCGTATGATCTATTTAACATCCTGCTGGAAAAGGTCATACGAGACGCAAAGGTGAACAGAAGTGGCACTCTGTACACCAAACAACACATGTTATTACGCCGATGACACCGATATAATGGGTCGAACATTGCGAGCGGTAACAGCGACCTTTGAACAAATTGAAAAGGAATCTGCCAAAGTGGGTCTGACAGTAAACGGCGAGAAGACCAAGCTGATGGTATCAACGCGCAAGACGTCTAGTAGACTTAGACCAACTGTGGAACTTGAGAACCACAGCTTCGAGGTAGTTAAATATTTTATATACCTTGGTACCGCCATAAATGTGGAACTTGAGAACTACAGCTTCGAGGTAGTTAAAGATTTTATATATCTTGGTACCGCCATAAATAAAACGAATGACATCAGTTTTGAAATTCGGAGAAGGATTGTGATGGCCAACATATGCTACTATGGTCTGAGTAAACAGTTTAAGAACAAGGCTACCTCCCGCCACTACGGTGGCAAGGCCATGTTGTGCGAGCCTACTGATGGTTTCCGTAGAAGGGGAAGACCACGAACTAGATGGAAAGACCAAGTAGAAAACAACATCTTGGAACGTGGTCTTCCAAATTGGTGGATTTGCGCACAAGACCGACGCGCTTGGAAATCTTTTTTAAGCTCGGCTTTTGGAACAACCGCTCTGTAACAAGTCAGCTAAGTAAGTAAGTATAGCTTTAAATGTGCGGAATGATTTCTTTAAGAATATTTTTTCAAGGACTAACACAGAAATAATTATTTTAAGAAGAATGTTCAAGGACCATTAACGACGTGGGTTTTTATTTAAAGAATACTTTGTTTATGAACCATTGCAGGGGTAAATTTTTTAATGAACAGTTTTCAAGGTTCATTACAGGTGTGGATTTTTTAAAAATATTTTTCATGGACCAATACAAGCAAGGATTTTTAAAAGATAGTTTTTCTATGACCACAACGTGATATTTTTCAAGGAGCAATATAAGGCGTGATATTTTACATATAACAATACAAGACTTGGATTAAAAATATATATATTTTTTTTCAAATACCATTGATATGCGGGGATTTAATAAGGAGTGAATTTTTAAAAAAATATTACCTCAAGGACTTTTA